CCCCAAAACCCCAAAACCCCAAAACCCCTTGAGGGATTTAAGAGATTGAAGGAGGTATTTAGGTGTTATGGGGGATTGGGTGCCTGGGAGGGGGATTTTGGCGTCAGGGATTTTAGGGATTTGCGTAGTTGGATTATGCGACTGCGTTTGTGTTTGAGGAGGAGCTAGAGAGGAAGATGAGAAAAAGGGGAGAGGGGGTTGGGTGCTTACCTTTTTGGATGTTGAAATTGAAGGACGGGAGATAATTTGGGTTCTAAGAGAATCATCGCTTCTTCTTTTTAGCTGTGGGTTATTGGGGAGGGATGTTCTGGGAGCAGCTTGGGGATTTGAATCTCTATTTTTGAGGTACAGAATTCTTCTCTTTCTATAAAAATTCAATTTACTCTAGTTTTAAATTTCAGTAAGAAGGCTATCCTATATTTTAGACATGATGAATCAATTCATCCTAAACCTCATTTTTAATCAAATGTTGAGGTTTTATTAACCCACAACTTGATTTAGTAAAAATATAGTAATCTCTTAAGATCATATCACATCTGTATATAATAATTTATGTATTAAAAAGTAAAAAATCATATTATTCTTCGACCATAAAATCAAAATTTTGATAATTTAATAAATTTCAAAAAATTCTCAGTGCACATTTATCCAACGATCGAAACTGCCAAGAATCAGTGGCTCTGCCGACACCAAACTTCGTACCTTATGATCTGGAGGAAATGTTGGGGTATTATCCAACCCTGAATAGTTCTGAGACTGTTTCCCAAACTTGACGGTTTTCTGATTTTTCAAAATCTAAACATATCCATAATCAAATATATAACAACCTCATGTGAAAGACAAGTTTATAAATTACTGGTTTAATATTAGAAATTACGAGACTTAAGGAATTGGAGTTCCGATAAACAACCCTGGATGTAGGAGATCTGGAGAGATAAAACCCAAGCAAAAATACTTGTGAGGATACTACAAAGGCATGGCTTACCTTTAATTTCGCTCCCTTTCGGCCGATATGAGGGAACTTATGCCGACACTTCTTCGCTGTAATTTCTTGGGAAGAATTTACTCCAAGGTCTTTATACAAAATTATCTAGATTTTGGAATACCTTTGTTGGATTTTGCTTCATTATAGTCCATAAAACTATTACATCGCCTTATCTTTGCTTTCTCAGGCCTGGCCAGAAGGGGTGGTTCTTTGTCAATTCTCTGCATCATTTCTGGAGTGGCGCCTAGCCTTCTGGCCAAATTCATCTTGAGGAGAGTTAAAGTCTTTTTCCTAGATTTAGAAGGTTTAAAAAGAAAATTGAAGAAATCTGAAATGATTAAAATTCAAGTAGGAGCTTATGAAGCATATTGATAATTTTAGAGAAATGAGTAATGAATAGCATACACATAGTTCAATTTGGATTTTGATTTAAAGGAGTTTAGAGCTAATGATGATCTCGGCTTTGTCCTAATGCACCTCTTCTTGTCAATACTCTTAGGCTTTGTCAGTGTCTGAAGTATGACAATATAATACTTACTGTCAGTTTATTGATCGTAATCGTGGTATCTGAATATTTCCGAAAATTTGGCTTTGGGATGTCTAGCTTTTCCTCATACTCTCTTTCAAAAATGCTTTCTTCTGATGATCTAGATGATAATATATCTAAAAATACAGTTCAAGTTCTTGTTTGTTGTCCGGAGGTCATATTTTAGAACTATTTTTACAACTCTGATTAGAAATTTGGGTGATCCCCACACCAATCTTTGAATTACTTCCCGACTTCCTCTGATTTAGCTTCAATATATCATGTTCTTCTTGATGTTCTTCTGTTCTAAATCCCATAGGAGTGCTTAAATATTCAGATTGAAGACCATCTCTCCTGTAATTTCTGGAATGGGTTCCATTATAATTATTATTTCCTCATAAAAATGCAGAATTTATGCTATCCAATTTTCCACTGAACTGGCATATCAGTAATTGTACTAAATTATTTCCCAAAGAGCACGAATCATTCATTTCATGTGAGAAGTTGCCTCATAGCTTGGATACACTGAGATCAATGTGTTTGAGGCGCTAATTCATCAAATCTGTTGCTCATTTGGTCCATTTTGATAAGATAAGTCAATAATATTCTAAAATTATGGGGTTTTGGGGTTTTGGGGTTTTGGGG